ATGATCCTTGTTTTTGTTCTCTGTTGTTTTTTCGCATAGGTTATGATCTCTCTACTTCTACTTTCTTACTTTACTTTCTGTTCGTATCTCATTTCCGTTATCATCGATTGTTTGGTATTGATTTACAGATAGATATGCAAAACAACGTTTCGTTTCTTTGGTCTAGTCAGAACGCTTGCCTGTTGTTATCTGATGGATGTCGTATAGAGAGTAGGGGTACCAATTTATATTTACTTTCAATTTAATTTATGCGAAAATTAAGTTATGGGTAATTTACAGTTTATTAAATTATAAATTAAACTAAATTATTCTATTTCTTTTTCACATTTCATCTCAGTCAGACGAACACGGGAAAAAACGGGTAAAAACCCATTGATATTTTAACGAAAACAAAATCGTAAAAAGTACACATGTAAACGCGTTCATAACACATTAAAAATTTTCGAACGGATATATATTTGTTCGGAAACTTTAGCGGGTTGTGAACAACTAAAAAGGTGCACTTTTTACGATTTTATTTTAGTTAATATTCCAATGCGCTTTTACGCATTTTTCTCTTGTTCGTCTGACTAGGATGAAATATGAAAAAGAACTAGAATAATTTTGTTTTATTTATAATTTAATAAATTATAAATTAAGTGCAAATAAATATGGTTTATGGTAACTTATTTTTATTTTTAAATATAAATTATAAAAAAAATAATTTGTATCTAAAATAAATATAAATTACTGATAATTTATATTCTTTTAAAATTAACAGAAAAACGACATCCCTACTCGAGTGAGAATTTATCTTTATCGTTTATTTGCTAGTCTATGTATATGTATTTCTCGTATCGCTCATGTAGTTTCATGTTGACCTCTCAAAAAGACATCACTTTCTTTCGATCCTTCATTTTTCAACACAACACAACATATTTATTTAACTAATTACCAGAAAGTGTTAATGGTCACCCATCCTGCAACAGCATATCAACAATTATTATCGGATATAACTGTGGATACATTGGCAACTGACTCAGTATAGAAAGAAAACGTGTTAAAAAGAAAAAAGAAATAGTTAAAGAATTTAGTGAATCAAGCGCTACTTCATCATCGTTGCAAATCAGATACAAAAATAAGAGTTGTTTCAGCAACCTTATCCGTCGTCAAAACATTATCATCAACATCACTAACATTTAATACACTATGTTCAACTGAACAGCAAGAAAATTCATATGATATTGCTAACGACAATGTTGACTAATTGAAATTCTCTTGAGCTTGCTCGTTTTTTCTGTATAGTTTATAAGACGCTCGTAATTCGAAATTCAAGTTAAATTTTTTTTTTTCACCTTTTTTATACATAGTTTGATAGTGCGTGAGTGGCTGATCACAAAAAAACCAGCTTTTAAGCTTTGTGAATCCTTTTTTTCTGGTAAAAAAATCCAAAAAACTAGACGGATTTTTTTTCTCGCAAAAAACCATCTTTTTCGAATTACACAATTTCTTAGGTCTTACTCCAGTTGAAAGCTTCTGAAAATATGTTTTTTCTGATTCAGCATGAAAAAGTGAGTATAAAAATAGTGTTAAATCATTTCTAGTCCAAAAAGTGTATTAATGGTGGGACATTTTCTCCTCTTGTTCTGAAACAGAGACCGAAACGGGGCGGGGAATCGAGGCAGGGCCCCGGGGTGGGGAGCTTTTTTATTGGACGGGGCGGGGGCGGGGTGAGAATTTGAGAAGAAAAGCGAGGCGAGGCGGGGACGGGGAAGCCAAACGAAAATTAGTCGGGGCGGGGCGGGGACGGGGCGACCAGAAATATTTTAAGTCGGGGCGAGGCGGGGCAGGACCTGGAAGAATGATGTAGAGTTCCGTAAAACTTTCTTATTTTTCGATTTTACACCGGAAATTCATATGTGCGAAAACGAAAAGTCGGGGTAGGGCGGGGACGGGGAAGCAAAATAAAATGAAGAACGGGGCGGGGCGGGGTCGAGGAAGCAAAAAAAATATAGAGCGGGGCGGGGCGGGGGCGGGGAAGAAAAAAAAATAACGAGCGGGGCGAGGCGAGGTCGGGGAGAGAAAGTTTCCGACGGGGCGGGGCGGGGAGTAAAAAATCTGCCCCGTTTCGGTCTCTGGACGGAACATCTTTGAGTAGAGCAAAAGCAGAAGAAGTAAGATATATCAATGAACGGCATATTGTAATCAAACGATTATTTAATTATCTACAATTTCTTATTGATAAACTGCCTCTTCTATGTCGTACATTATGTTTTTCCTATCAGTAAAAAAAATCAGCCCGTTTGTTCGAGTCATAACATAGAGATTCAATTTTTTCTCGATAATATAAGGTTTGAACCATTCTATATTTTTAAATATTTTGTTTTTTTTTTTAATCTTGTAGATTTTGTACTAAATTTAATTATTACCGATAATACAAACGAAGATAATCGATCATGTTGTTTTGTTTTATTTGAAGCATTAACAACAACTGTATCAGCTGTAGTTACATTTGCTATTGGTTATTATATTAATTGGCGTGGTTTTACAGATCTTTATTGGATTTCATTAGGATTACAAATTGTTTCAATTATAATTGTTATTTTCTTTTTTAAAAATACTTCTCAAATTATCGATGAAAGAACTTGTCTATTATCATCATCGATTCAAAATAATAATGGTAATCAACTTAAAGAAATACATTCTTTAAGAACGACATGTAAAGATTGTTTAATTATTTTCAAAATATTTAGTTTTAAAAATCGTTCACATAAAAAATCAATTAGTCTTCTATTAATTCTATTCGCTTATATTTTTTATCTATTAGCATATTCAACATATGCATCATTTCTTTGGTATTTACTTGATAGTCCATTCTGTTGGTCATCAGAAAATGTTGGAAATTATATGGCATTATCTTCAATATCTTGTGCTATTTTTAGTTTACTTGGAATGAAATTTTTTACATATATTGGTGCTAATGATACAATCATTTGTATATTTAGTCATTTTTGTTTTACTATATCATCTCTTTGGATCGCATTTGCTCAACATAGTTGGCAATTATATGCTGGATTATTAATCAGTCCTTATGCCGATTATCAAAATTCTTTAACGATACCAATGATGTCAAAATTATTAGAAGTTCATGAACGAAATCATGCATTTACATTTGTAGCTGAAGTAACTACAATTATAACAACTTTTGGAGATTCAATTTTTAATTGGATTTATGCACAAACTGTAGTTAATTTTCGAAATTTTACTTTATTACTTGCTGTTGGATTTAGTATTATTTCATTTATTTTAAATATGTAAGAAATTAATTAAAATTTGAAGAATAATATTATTTTCTTGTTTTTATTAGATGTCTACTTGGTCTAACACGACGAATACCAAATGAAGAACAAGTTTCAATATCTGAATCAGAACCATTTCTTTTACCAATTAGTAATAACAATGATAATAATATAGTACATGCCGGTGATGTTATTTGTCGATCAATACTATATTCAACATTGGTTCCAGAGACAACAAAAACAAATAGATCTCGACGGAACTCAGAATCATTAACTGACAACAAGATAATAACAACAGATAATCATTTAAGTCTTTGATCTTTGCATGTTATAGTAGTGTTATTTGATTAAATAAAAAACGAAAAGTAAAATAAGCATGAGTAATGTATATAGCACAAATCAGATCTAATTACTAGCTAATTCCAGGAGGAAAAAGCAGACATGAAGTAGAAAAGAACATCAAAGTAAAAAAGTAGCTCAAAATATCTAGAAGTAGTTCAAAGGGTGTAGAAGTCGCTTTGAATTAGTTCGAAGTACTTTAAAGTAGCGTGGAATAACTTCAAGTGCAAAAGTCTGCTTTTTCGCCAAGCATTAGATAGAGCACAAAAAGGTACATCTACCATAAAATTTTAGCTCACCGTCGAGTTCATGAAGGAATTTGATTTTACGAACATTTTGAAAAAAACAAATGTCTGCAAAAAAAACGCATCAAAAGTATAAGAGATAGAAGCTGTATAGCAGTATAGTCATACTACTACACCGTTTCTATGTTGTATAATTATGGCGTGGTTGTTGCAGACGGTTCTTTCTCCTGATTTTGTTGCAAAATTAGATTTCTTATGAGCTCAGAATTTGCCAATATAATTCTTTTACAATCACTAAAAACGGTGGAGCAAACCATTCTCGACAAAATGAAACGTCTTCCAGCTGTCTACCATATTTTTTTTTGTTTAAAATCAGTCAATATTACGACAGGCACAAAAACTGTATTTTTGTGCGAAATACCAAGTAAAAAGCATGTTTCCTCCCGTAAAGTAAATCTATCTCAGTTAAAAAACTTGGTAAAGAATTTTTCGCTCAAACCTTTTGGATGACTCAAGGAAAATTATATTTACAAATTTTACGAGCTAAAAAACTTGCGAGATAATTATTCCAAGTGTTTCCGAGCTTTTGACCTCATCTGTTGGCTATAAGTAGATTTTAGTAGAGTTAAGAAAACGCTAAAAGCGTTCCTACCCATGGCTCTTTTCTCCGAAGATATGATCAAATGTGTGTCAAACAGATAGACCTTCGGCAGTTCCATATCAATTTGGATCTTGAGAACTATTCCAACGGTTATTTGATAGTAAATGATATATATAACAGCTCTTTTAACAGAAATGATCGCTAAACCTAGTTCTTGAAAGAGAATCGGGTCCTGGAACTGAGAGCTGTCATAGGCCTACAAACAGTGAGAGTCCTTTAGTGCTACTTTAGAACATAAAAATAAATAGATCATTTATCTTTCAAAAATTAAAGGAATAAAGGATTCTCTTTATAATAGATAATCCTGTGGAAAGAGTTCTAAGACCAAAGAATTTTTAAGCAGAAAGATTTTATCATTTAGAAAATGTGTTTTGATAGAAACACTCTAAATAAAGGTATAAATATAGAAAATGAGGGGAAATAAGTGATAGAGGTTCTCTCTCTATAACTTGCTTTCTATTTTAAGAATTTGTTGCTTTAATTCTATTTAACTTTCTCTCGCGCAACCCCGTCCTATTATCATGCACTGCCTTATCCTGTCCTGCCCTGGTATAGGGATGCTCCAGTTTCGGTAATCGGATGATCTAGTTAACTGGCTTTGATTTAGCTGATTCAGTAGTATTTGAGTTTTCTTCCAACTGCTGATGGGAGGAAAGTCGTACGAAATAAGATAAGTTTGCGAGGTTACTCGCACGTGTACGGGCACGTATACACACATTTGTAAAGACTTAGAGCAGTTTTTTCAAATGAAAGCTTTTTTCATGTTGAGAATTCAGCCAATCAGATGTTTTTGATATTTAGCTAATGTCCAATGAGACTTTCGTGTGAATGTGCCAATGGAGTAATTGTGGAATGGGTACAGTTGTTGCCATGGCGAAATAGATTGTGGATGTATAGATTCACTGCAACGTCTGTCGATGTGAATGTCGTGGTCGGGTGTCGAACTGTGACAGCTTACAGTCCTATGAATCCCTTGTTTTTTTCTTTGAGAACTGGCTCAGGTTCTAGTGGCCAGGTCTTTTTATATGGACTTGATGCACTGACAATTGTAATGTACCCATTCCATATTCACTCAGTGGCACAGTCATAATCAAATCTACTCTGACACACAAGCCTGATCGAACGAGAGCTAGATTTCGAAAATATTTGATTGGCTGAACTTCCAACATGAAAAAGTCTTTATTGGATGGATGTGGAACGTGTGTGTGCGTGTCTCTCCTCGTTACCTACAACAACACTTACACTCACGCCTGCAGTGAATATCTCAGCAATACTCGTGCGATTTCTCTCTCTTACTGTTTCATTTTCAGATTATAATCGGTAATAAATTCATATATTTTCAACGAAAAATGATCGAACCAACCTCAAACAAGAGTTTAAGAGCTCTATTAATTTATCTAAAAAGTCGAGATGATGACTATCCTTCTGTATGCTTTCTTTTTGTTACGAACGATGGTTATAATATTTTCAATGAAATTATTTTCAGTCTCTAATTTCTGGACACACATCTACCCAGACAGAAAAAATAATGGTGTAATGGCATTAAAATGCCTTGAA